CTCCAGGGTGGGGGGGGCCCGGGGTTCCCCTTCTTTTTTTGGGTTTTGGGGGGATTGGGAGACTGTTTGGAAACCCCCTAAAAAAGTTTTTTCCTTTTTTTTTATTTCTCCCCTTTTGGGTCCGGGGGGGACCTCCCCTCCTGCCCCCGGAGTTTTTTTCCCCGGACACCTTTTTTCTTTCCCCCCGGGGCCCTTTTTTTTCCCCTGGGGGTTTAAAAAAACCCCTTCTCCTAAATTCCCTCCCCCCCCGGTTTTGGATTTTTGGGTCCCCCCCCCCCCCCCCCCTGGGGGACGCGGGGTCAATGATCGAACCGTTAAGGCATCCAAAACATAAGAGTCCCCCCCCCCCCCCTGAGATTCGTGTCCTGCTGAGTGTATACACATAAACAAAGCAGCAGCAAGCAAACCAGAGCTTCACTCTCTCTCTCTCTCTCTCTCTCTCTCTCTTTCTGTTTTCACCTCCAAGCGGGTGACCCCCTCGATCCCCGACGCCCGGCAGACGCTCTTGGCGTTGGAAGAGACGGCGCTCTCGAACGAAAGGCGCGGCCCGACCTCCACGAGGAGAACGCTCTTCGAGGAGTCTCCTCCTTGCTCCCCTGGTGTGTGTGTGTGTGTGTGTGTATTTAGGATTAGCATCGGCCGCGCTAGCCGGCTGACCAATAAGAAGACGTGAGTCTCCGTGTGGCGAAAAACACAAAATTCCTCTGGTGTGTGTGTGTATGTGTGTGTGTTTTCTCAATGTACTGTAGAATCGACTGCGCTAGCTAGCCGGCTGACCAATGAAAAGACGCCAGTCTCAGTGCGGCTGAAAAACAGAAAATGCTTCTAAAGGCTATCATGATCTGGGACCCCGTGAGAGGGCGTGATAGGGGAGGCTGAGCTGCTCTCCAGGCGCAAGATAGAAACGGCAGCACACGTGTGCGTGTGTATGTATTAATTTGCCTCAGCCTTGCTAACCGGTTGGGACGTCAGCGCTAGCGGGAAAAATCAAGGTCCCTGGAAGGAGGTAAAAAATCGGGCACCATTTTGCATCTCTACTACACATGTACACCAGAAAATCTTGTACAGCGTCGCCTGCTGACACTTGATACAGCACATGCGGTGTTTTCTTGTTCCCGTGCCCTCGCCAACCGAAAGACCGGAGGGGAAAAAAAACATCTGCTGATTGCAATATAGGCACATATGAGGTGAATTTTTCCAGCTACGTGGCCGCATCACGCAGATGCAATCCAAAACAGCCGAGACTCTCGGGCGAACAAGATATCATAGCTATTTGGCGGCGTGCCATCTACTGCCACACCCAGTCTATCAATGAGGCTGGTGGTGGCGAAGCCTAGTGGCCGCATGCGTTTCCATCATACCCGACAGGAAGCTTGACTCGGACGTCTTCTCGGGCTCGAAGGTCTCCCTCAGCAGCCATTGCAGGGCGTCCTTCTGACCGGCGTCCATAGGCCTATTTGATCCCCCCCCCCAGGCACACAAACACGCAACGGTGGTCAAGAGCGGGGAAACAACACGAAGCATAACGACGGTAAGAAGGGGGGGGGGGCGGGGGGGGGTAGAAACCAAAAAAAATTATCACGCCTCTAGCGGCAACCATGCACCGCACGTGTTTCCTTCAGTGACGCCACGAAGAGCAAAACGGGCGGCGAGAAATCCACCCATTCCAAGAAAACAAATATTATTGCGTAACGGTCGGACCCAGAGTCACGTTCCTGGGAAAACCGGCGGTGCGGAACAGCGGCAAAATAACCTTCGGCAGCGGCATCGTCCAGTCTGCGGAAGAACTTCATGGACCTAACTTACTGACGCAGACAACGGCAGCCAGCTCCCGCATGTCTCGGGCACAGAGCAAAAGCGGGAGTGACGTACGAGGGCAAAACCACACACCGAGCAGCGCCGCCGAGGGGCACGTGGATAACACAGGAACATTTACTACGCCCCCTGGCCCCGTGTCTGGACAAAGGCCTTGGCATGCCACAGAAGCAATGCCACGTGTTGTGAAGCAAACGGTGCGTGTGCTGTGTATCGCTCTGGTGAACGAAGCGCCACAGCCTTCATCACTGGTTCAAAACGGGCATAGAACAGAGAAAGACATCCCTGCATTCAGTGGGCGCGCACGGTAACAAACCACAGCGCGCTTTTTCTTTCCCGGGCACACTCTGACAGATTTTCCTCGGTGCATGTGGTGAGAGCCTAAACGCCTAAATTGACTTTTCCCTTGTGAAAACGCATCATCTAGGATGGCGACGAGGTCGAAACTGTAGGCCGTCATACATAGCAGTCATGTGCCACCATCACACCTAGCCTTGTCGACCTCGACGTTGAAGCAGTGCTCGGTGGCGATGGACTCCACCCCCGCCTCGGGACACGCGGTCTTGGCCTTCGGGAGGAGCCCCGCGGCCGTGGAGGGTAGGACCCCGGGGGTGCGGTAGAAGTGCATCACCTGCAGCAGCACGCGGCGCGTGCGTAGGTGTATCTGTACTATTAGTATCGCCCGCGCTCGCTAACCGGCTTACTCAATGAAATCACGTCAGTCTCAGCGCGGCCGAAAACATAAAAATGCTTCTGAAGATCACGGTTTGGGGTCCCGTCGTTTGTTTCTTGCGCATGTGTGTCTTTGGCTACCATCGATCACGCTGACCGGCCGGGCAATGAAAATATGATAATTGCGAAAGAGAAAGTGTGTTTTCGTGAACGCCATAACATACGTAATCGTCAACAGTAACGTCGATCGAGCCGCCGAGGAACGTTGTCGTTACACTTGTTTGTGTGGTTCTCTGAAGGACATCTCGCCGGCAGGAACATTGTTCAGAACGTGGCCCCGTGGGTTCGTGGTGGCATGCTATGCGGGATAACTCCGATACGGTAAACATGCGGGTTCCTTTGGTGTAGACAGACCTACATATGCATAGAGAGAACCAATTCCAGCTCAACCACGAGGGGGCTGGAATAATGCCTGCGGCATGTGAAACGAACGTATGGCTGGGAATAATTTCCGCCCGTGATCATGCTTGGATGTGGACAGGATGTTGGAAAAATTCCCGCACCGGCCCGGCTTACCTCGTGAGTGCTTCCCGTCTTCATTTTCTTCTCGCTGGGCGAGGTTACTTCGGCGGTAGCGGACATGGAAGTGCTGCTGCTGCGGCAGCAGCGGCGGCAGCGGGGGGGGGGCAGGCGCGCGATAAGAAAATCGTGCGATATTAGCAAGGGCGGAGGCAGGCACACGAGTGGGCGGACGGGCTGGAAAAAGTGTTGTGAGACACCCACGGCCTGCGTGAGTACCAGTGTCGGCAGAAACTGCAGTGTTCGGTGATATGGCGTGATGGTGTTGGCAACCTGTCTCCCAGCAAAGAGAGAGTCTACGCCAGCTTCGTAAATAGTGTTTCGTGCCGCTTGGTCAACGCCGATCCGCTCGTCGGAAACGCCCATGTTGGAAAACCCTTCGCAGAAAAATTGGCAGACGAAACGCTGCACTGCTGTTTTGGTGCCCGTCTGTGTCCAGGAAATTGGCTATTTAGCACTATGCTGGACAGCCGCACTACAATTACTTGGTGATTCAGGTCTGTGTGCCAGCCGCATAAACCGAAACCGGCACCAAACGGGCCCATTCGATCCCGACACTACTGTAAACACGGCCCCCCACTGCTGTACTGCTGCTGTATCTGCGCGCTCCCACACCCGGAGCTTGACAAACTGATGTTCGCCAGTAGTATGAATATAACTTCAATACTGGAAAAACCTTGGTAGATTACGAAATACCACATGGGCCTTCCAAGGCCGGTGTTTGTACAACCAGGTGCGCTCGCAAAACACCGCCGGCCGCCAAGACCACACGGAAAGGTGCGAGGATCGGCGCGTCATCATCCAGCAGAGCAAAAAGGAGACATGCATTTTGTATGGTTGTTTCCAGACACGATGCCATGTCGATACCGGTGTGTGCTCGTCAGATGGTACTGTACCAAGACGGCAGAGCCAGTACACAGCCGTGAATCTTGGCAGCGCTATCTTTGATGCGTTGGGTGCCTGGCAAAAACAGGAGAATCTGTTGCGGTAAGGCGGATCTAGACCGGGTGTACATGTAGACTATGCGGCGGAAAGTACAACGAGACACTTCAGCAGCACAAGCGGCAGGTGTGCATGACATTGCAGTACATGCACTCTTCCCCCACCGATCATGAACATCATGGGGACCATCAAACCCAACGCATGGTACCTACGGCCTCGCCGAGCTACAAGGCGCCCCGACACCCGCCTTTGTTGCTGCAACAGCCACCGTGTCCAGGCAACCAATCATCGCACATCATTTCAACAGCGGCATCGGACAGCAGTCGGCGTGCAGTATCTCAAATTTGAAAAAACATGTTTCCCTTGCTGAAAACTGCTCCAACACCGGCGGCGCGCTGGGTCCCAGATAGGGTTTGAATTATGCATGAACACCAACACCACATCTGGAGACACCGATCACAATGCTCTCGCACATCGCACCTTGGTGAAGAAATCTGTGGACCTGCTCTGCGATGCAGCCAACCCGTGCTCCTTGACCACCACGGGGAACGCGATCCCGATCCCTCCTCAAAGCTGCTACTGCTGGTGCTGGTGCTGGCGGCGTATGGTCGTCGCAGCCAGCGCGTTGCTGGGTACTCCTTGGCGACGAAGACCGGTCCCTGCTGCTGCTGCTGCTTGGGAGCTGCTGCCTGCTGTCTCGAAGCCAACGGCGCTAGGAAGGCGAACGCTGCGACGTGCATAGGCCGTGCTGCGACACACTGCCCGCACCTGCACCTGCCTGACACGTACTCAACTTGCAACGGGGGGTCGACAGAAAACACTCAACGGGACACCCACCATCCCTTATAATTACACCTGATATGGGGGCTTTTGTCTTGCCGCTTGTTCACCAAAATATATTCACCCACAGACACATGACAGCAGTGCAAGTAGTGCTGGTACAATGGGCACAAGTCGTATTCGTTGCGGTGTACTCTCTCGGTTCAAGACCCGGGCATTGAGCAATTAGTCCATCTCCCCCGCATTTGCTTGTTGCGCTGTGCCTATTTAGCAGAGTTCCGTAATGAAAATAGAGAAAGACAAAGATTTGAATATTTTCCAACGTTGGAAACCCTCGGCGAGGGACCCTATTCCAAGGCTACTACTAGACATCGTGGTATCTGTCTACTATGATAGACATCTGGCATCTGTCTAACTAGTGTTGGGTCACCACGACAAATCAAGAATTCATACTATACAACACTTGGCGCTTTGAAAGCGCCAACTTTGTACAACAAAGAGAGGACGTGGGCATTGTTGTCTCAAGCGGTGGCGAACGCGCGCGGATATCCACCCACACTTCTTCTCGTGTACTTGGTCGTACTTGCAGATTTTGCACCAATCAGTCCTCTGGCGGGACGCGTCAAAATGTCAAAGCGGTTCACCACGGCCATAATATGGTGCTTGCTGTACGGCGATTGGGTAGAGAGCTTTCGAGGACACTGATTCAACATTGACCCGTCCGAAAGGGCACCAACACTCGTGACACTGATCGTGCTAGGAGTGGTTGAGTGCCGTCTGATCGCGCGCTGGTCTCTTCGGAAAAACAACAATGTTGTTGTGTACCTCGTCAAAATGCTTTCTCGCCCCCGCCGAAAACAGGCCCCGTGTCATGAAGATAAACATGTGAGTGAATCGCGTGGAATTTCCAGATTTGAGCGTCGCAAGAGGACGGAACAACAGCAAACCAAATACGGGGCATACCCGATGTTTCAGCAGCAACAACAAGGGGCATCAAACACTACAACACATTCCGCTCGTCGAGAACTTTGTCCTTGACTTCGTTCCCTCTCTCTCGAAGAACGGCGTTCGTTCTATGCGGGTGGGTCTCAATACCTGGCGTTCTCACGCTGCGCCCCCGCAAACATTCGATCGTAGCCAGAACAAACTTCTAGAGACAACAAAATCTGTGCAGCTAGCGGTGGCCAAGGCCGCCCCGGCCAGCCTCCCCATCCTCCTATCGCAAACGAACAACCCTCGTGCTCGTCGTTTCCGGAAGCCGCAAGCCATCAGGCGATGGGTCGCTGGAACACCCCCCCCTCTGATGCCCATCCGTCCAACGCTAGACCTCGACTATCGCACGACATGCTATTTAATACCCTACGTCGCGGCGGCTGCCTGCCATCTACTCCTCCATCATGCCGCCGGGGCCACCGGGCGGTGCTTGCCCCATCTGCTTCCCGGCCTTCATCACCTCATCCACAAGCAGCAGCTGCGACGCCAGGACCTGAGGGAGGGCGTGAAAAAGAATGATATCATCCGCAACACGCAACGGGTCCGAGCACGCGGCGAATGGGGCGTTCCGGCTTAAGGGTCGTGCGACGCACGACAGAACATCAAGGCGATCGAGCGAAAACATGATCCAGCAGAAGAGACGTGCTTTCGTCTGTGATGGTGGCGTTCGTTCATGAGGATGGCCCAAAACGGCGACACGTAGTCTGCATGTGTTTTTGCTGTCTAGCATGTGTTGCGGCTCTTACCGTGCTGAGGTGCAGGGACTGGCGCTTGACGCAGTAGTTATCCCAGACGCCCTCCTGCTCCGGCAGCATGGGCTCGCCGGTCATGAGGTCCAGCCCCACGGCAGCGCCGGACTCCTGGCATGTCGAATGACATCGTAAGTTTCATCGGGGGTAGGACGGGAAAGAAGAAAGAAGTGTTAGGGCTGTGGGAACATGGGGAAGTCAATCGACACATGTGGTGCCAGTGTATCGTCGTGGTTAGGACGGCAAAGAATGGTTGCGGGTGGGAACGGGCGGGGGGGGGGGGGGGGGGGGG